TCAATGTGCGCGACGCAAAGAGTGAAACAACGGGAAATCAATAACAACACATTCGTATCATCATCATCATAGGCTGGGAAGCAGCGCAGCGGAAGATTTAGTATCACAGGACACGTGGACAACAACATGAAAAGGAGAAAACTTCGGAAGGGCAAGACATCAGAAAGATTGCCCTTCCGCTCACACACATGGGGAGAGATCCATAGACATGCGAGAGAGAAGGGGGAGGGACGGAGGTAACCAAGTCCAACCCAAGTCTGATCTCCGAATGTCGCACACAGTTCAATCCCAATGTAGAGTGCAAGTCCGACCTGAATGTCGTGTCCAATAGGGCAGAATGCCGTGTCCAAACAATGTCTGCAGTTACCTCTATCTCTACTCTGAAGAAGAAGAAGAACTTTGGAGGAGTAGGAGGAGAAGAGGAGAGGAGAAGAAGAAGAGGAAGAAGAAGAAGAAGAAGAAGAAGAAGAAGAAGAAGAAGAAGAAGAAGAAGAAGAAGAAGAAGAAAGCTGGGTGCTTTCTGCACTTACCTGGCGATGGCTGAACTTGCAGGTACCGCGGAGCCAGCTATGGCGCKGGGCAGGTAAGTCCTCTTCTCTCTCTCTCTCTCTCTCTCTCTCTCTAACTCCACTAACCTCCTCGGCGCTGGACTCCTCCAGCGCTGTGCCTCATGGCCGATGAGCAGCTCAGCTGCAGTCTCGAAATGGCGCAGCAGGGAGTCTCCAAAATAGCGCAGCAGCCAAGTTCCTGAACCAGCATAACGCTGGATTTCTCTTGGTACCTTCTGTGTCCGAACTGGGCATTGGTGAGGCCAAAAGGCATAACTACCCACTCAAAATGCCCATATCGCGTCTTAAACGCGGTTTTGTACCGATCTTGCGAGCGGATGGAAATCTGATGGTAGCCCGACTTAAGGTCCAACTTCGAAAAGTACTTGGCGCCGCCCAACCGCTCAAGCAAATCGTCAATGCGAGGTAGAGGCCCCGCGTTCTTGATGGTTTGCGCGTTGAGGCGTCGGTAGTCAATGCAAAGTCGAAGGTCCTTGTTCTTCTTCCGAACGAAGAGAACGGGCGCACCGTAAGGTGAGCTGCTAGGGCGGATCCAACCCTTGTCCAGTAGATCGTCGAGTTGCGCACAGAGAACCGTGAGCTCCTCCTCGGACATGCGATAAATGCATCCTTTCGGTGGCACGGCGCCGGCCTCAAGTATGATCTCGTGAGCGATTGGCCGGTCCGGCACTATACCGGAGGGTGTCTCAAAAACATCCGAGAACTCGTCTAACAACCGGGTCACACGGGGGTCGGAAGACACTTCTGTGGACGATGAATCGGTCGTCGGGACAGTTCGAAGCAAAGCGATGCCAATCTCTTCGACATGCTCAGAACGGCATGTGTCTCGAAAAGATTTGGCACTCACGACTTGGCACCTAATGGAAGAGCGAGGAGGAATAGTACACGGGACCTCGGCGCCAGTTGCATCACGAATCGTGAGCGTGCGTCGATGGAAATTGACCGTGTGGTCCGCGCTAGAAAGCCAAGGCATCCCCAAAATGACATCGAAGTCGGTGTCCAACACATCAAAAGTGACAGGTTCAGATGCGTGCAGTGCGAAGTACACCGGGACAGCCGAGATGTAACGGTCTAAAAGCTGTTTTGTCTTACCGTCGGCAAGAGCGACCGTCGTCGGATGTGACTTCCTCCGTACTTGTGCGCCAAGGCCAGCCCGAGTCATGAAGGACTGGCTGATGAAGTTGCGAGTTGCGCCGCAATCTAGCAAAGCGTTGCAGGCCGCTTGCCCAATCTGAATGCGAAAGTAGAGCAACGGTGCGTTGTTTTCTTCGTACCGTTGCGAGACAAACTCGCGCGCCACCTTAGCAACGTAGCCAAGCATGTCCCCCACCGCGACTTCGTCTACCGTCGGCGAAGTTGATGGTGCATGGAAGGAAAGATACTGGTGTAAGAGGGCGCATAGGGCTGCGCTTTGCGGCCC